TCGCCCTGGGGGGAGACGAGACCATCGAGGGAAGCAGCCTCTTCCCGGGACACGTGAGGGCCTACGAGGTGGGTCCCATGAGAAGGAGGGGTGAGGCCGGCCACAGCTGAGCCTGTGCCCACTGCAGTAGGAAGAAGTCACACAGATGGGGAGCAGGGGCTCGTTTGAGCCATGACTCGGTGTGTGACCTTGGGCAAGACTGCCCCTTCTCTGGGCCTGTTTCCTCTAGTGGACAACTGAGCTGGGGCAGGCCTCTCTTGGGTCCCCTCCGGCCGAGTGCACTTCCTATGGAAGGGGCGTAGCGAATGGCAGTGTCCCTTGCTTGGGTCCGAGCTTCGTCCCACCTGCCTGTGTGCCCCGGTCACGTTAGCTCTTTCCTGGGCAATGCTCCCCCTCCCCCAAGATGGGCGTTGCCATAGTTAGGGTCACAAGCCATCTTACAGGGGCCCGACACGGTGACATAGTGACAGCTACCACTTGGATGACTAGGTGGGGGCAGGCAGGCTCCACACATATCGGAGCACCCAGCCTGACCACGGTTCGTGTCTGCCAAACCTCAGAGCCTAAGCGGCGAAGGTAGGCCTACGGCGAAGGTAGGCCTACCCACCTGTGACCTGCCCTTCCCTTCCAGGAGGCCGTGAGGAGCGGCGTCCACCGCACTGTGCATGCCGGGGAGGTGGGCTCCGCAGAGGTGGTGCGAGAGGTGAGGACTGCTGACGAGGGGCCCCTTGCCCTGACCCCCAGCCCCAGCGTGCTCGGCTACACTCTGCCTCCCTGCAGGCCGTGGACAAACTCAGGACGGAGAGGGTGGGGCATGGCTACCACACCCTGGAAGATGAGGCCCTTTACCAGAGGCTGCGGCAGGCGGACATGCACTTCGAGGTGACAGGGCCAGGGAGTGGGGAGGAATCGCCCTGGTTGTGCCACCCCTCCGGGACAGAGAGGTAGAAAGCCAGGTGGGTCAGAGCTGCAGGAGCAGGTGAGCCACGCGGGAGAGGCGTGGGCACTAAGCCGCTAGGTGGACAAAGACGGGGCTGACAGCCCTGGGATTCAGTGCCAAGGTTGCCTGTGCCTTGTGGCAGGAAGGGTGCCACACAGGTGGCCCTGGTACCAGGGAATGAGGAGGAGGCCAGTAGGGCCCAGGGCATCTGTACCACCCACGTCTGTCCTTCCAGGTGTGCCCCTGGTCCAGCTACCTCACAGGCGCCTGGAAGCCAGAAACGGAGCATGCAGTCATTCGGTGAGGCCTGGTCCTTGGGGCCCACTCGGTTTTGCTCAGGAAAGGTAGGGATGAGGCAATGCAGAGACAGGGCACCAGCCACACCAGGTCTCTCACACACCACCCCTTACCTCCTCGGGCTGTAGGCGTTGTCCTCCTCTTACATGTGGGGCATCCGAAGGCCAGGCGTGCTATAAGCTGACCGTGGCCACCCAGCTGCTAAGCATAGTGATTCAGCCATAGCAGCGTGGCCAGCTCCCCAACAAAGACACCCACGCCCATTTCCCCGGCTCCGCGTCCTGAGCATTAGGGAGACAAGGCCCTCCTCCCCGCACGTCCTGCCGCTGGCACCTGGCCCTTGGGCCTCTGGGTACCCCTCAGGCATTCCTCTGAGCACCAACTTGAAACTTTTCCCAGGAGGGTCTGTTCCACCCTAACCTGCTCCATCCCCACACTCTAAGCAGGACTGAGCACTTCCGTTATGTGACCAAGCTGTGGGAGTGGCATCGGGCCTTGGGAGGTCAAAGCTACCTTCAGACAGCAAGACCTTGGGTGACATGGTCAGGCCAGCACTGGCCTGCCTGTCAGGCTGACGAGCAGGAGAGTGGCCCCGGGCTCTCCCGTTCCAACAAGGGGCCTCAGGCTTGCCTCAGGGACACGGAGGGGCAGCACCTGTGGGCCACAGGGTGGCGGCTCCAGGAGGCATGAGGGTAGACAGCCCATGGGCTGGAGAGATCTGAGTCACCTGCAGAGATGGCGACTGAAGGAAAAGCAGTGGCCCTAGGAGATGGTGGAGCAGGGCTTTGGATAGAATCCAGGACAAAGACTATTTTTTCTTTAAAGATTTGCCATAGGGTGTATGTGCTCGCCAGAGGGACAGAAAAAGAGAAAGGGAAAAGGAGAACTCACTTTCCAGGGGGGATTGGCCATGCTGTAATCCCTTCTCCTTCATTCTCCTCTTAGGATATCGGGCACACACTCACGTGCCCGGCGTGATTTTCAGTGACAGTTAGGGACAGGCAGAGAAGTAGGAGGAGAGCCCAAAGCCCAGTGTCAGAGAAACCTAGGGAAGGGGGTTCAGAAAGCCAGGGTGTCAGCTTCTGCTAAACCAGTCAAGGAAGGTACAAGCTAGGATGGACCCACTAGATTCAAGCAGATGGTGGTTGGGATGGGGTGGCAAGAGTGTTTCCATGGGACGTTGGCAGGCCCAGAGCCCAGTGGGGTGGGGCAGGGTGCCGTCCCCTCTCCCCAGATGCTGGCTAGGAGGGGAAGGCCAGAGCGAGTGGGTGCTAGAAGGGATGTGGCTTTCTCAGTCTCCCAACCCCTTCCCCCTGGCTCTCATTCCTGCCTTTACCAGGCTCAGGACTGGCAGGATACGAGTCACATGGTTTTGGACAAGTCGTCTGAGTCCTCTAAATTTGCTTCCTCCTTGTACCAAGGATAAGTTTGCCACGGGGGTCAAAGGAGGTGAAAGCCTATGTGCACGGACTGTGCATCAAAGGGGCTCTTCCTGCACCCCGCCTTCCTTTCAGGTTCAAAAATGACAAGGCTAACTACTCGCTGAACACAGACGACCCGCTCATCTTCAAGTCCACGCTGGACACCGATTACCAGATGACCAAACGGGACATGGGCTTCACCGAAGAGGAGTTTAAGAGACTGGTGAGTGGGTGTGTGCCATGCTGGCCTTGACTCCCGGCCCTGGGAGTATGTGAGGCCTGTTGGTCTTGTCCAGGCCCTGGAGCCTCTGGAGATGAGGAGCGAGCCTGCCTACAAGTCTGAGACAGGCCAAGTCTAGACACTTTCCAGAAAAGACGGCTTTGTGCTGATGGCTGATGCAGAAGCAGACTCTATTATTTTGTAGACTGCTGTAGGGCACGTGCGCTCACCGAAGATGGGGGCGGAGAGGATGTGAGAAGGCACCCTGTGGGGGTGGCCATGCCGCAGGCCCTTCTCCATTCTCTCGGGACATGGGTTGCACGTGTGCACACACTCGGCATGATTTTCTTTCTTTCCTTTTTTTTTTTTTGAGAGGTTTTTGCTAAAGGGCGCATGCACTCGCCAGAAAGAGAGAGAGACAGAGAGACAGAAAGCGAGAAATCACCCTCCAGGGAGGATGGTCACGCCACAATCCCTTCTCCTCCATTCTCCTCTTGAGATCTTGGGCATGCAAGCACATGCGCCCGGCATGAGTTTAAGCCACCAGGTCCAGGACTCAAACCGTGGTCGACTACATGGAGTCCAACAACATAGCCATTACACTAACTGCTGGTCCCAACTTGGCATGATTTTCAAGCCGCCAGGTTGGGACTCCAGCTGTGCAGTTAGCCACATGGGATCCTGCTGCCTTAACCAGGCCTCTGGGTCTGCTCAGTGCTTGCTGCGGGGGACCTGGGATAAGTCCCTACCTGAGAGCTCCCCTGCCCATGCTCCGGGAAGAGGCTGGACTGTCACTAGATTGCCAAGGGCTCCCGTACTTGCTCTCTGGTCCCATGTTGTTCCTCATCCTGGCTCCTCCAGAACATCAACGCAGCCAAGTCCAGTTTTCTCCCTGAAGATGAGAAGCAGGAGCTTCTCAACCTGCTCCACAAAGCCTATGGGATGCCGTGTTCCGCCTCTGCAGGTAGGTGCCTGTGTGGGCTTCTGGGCTGTCCCCTGGCCCCGGCTCCAGCCTGGCTCTCCGTGGGACGTCTAGCAAGATGCCCTTCCTCTCTCAGAGGCACCAAGAACATGTGATGGCCCCTGGGCCCTGGCTGCGAGCAGCCTACCAGATGGGTTTGCCTCTGTACAGCTGCTGCCCTAAGAGGCTGGCCCAGTGGGGGGACTTAAGCCCAGTCCCAAAGGTCTGGGCAGCCTGGGGCATCTTCTCCATGGCTGTCCAAAGCTAATGGCACGGAGTGGGGCCCCTGGCTCTTCTTCCCCCGTGTGGCCTTGGCAGGGCGGTCCCTTTCTCTGGGCACAGCCATGCCACCCATGGAAGGGAGTTCTCGCAGGCCTGGTGTTCTGTGACTTTACAGTGTCCTGGGTACTGCCAGCCAGTTCCTGACCTTCCTCTTCTCTAACAAGCAGGGCAGCACCCCTGAGACGCCGCCAGAGCTGCGAGTGCTTGCCCTGAGGATCGAGTTTTCGCCGCTGTGGAGTCACGCAACACTCTGACCTTTATCCCTTCAGGAAGACTGTGATTTCAACAGCCTCTGATGCTCTTGAAGCCCGGGTGCCTGTCCCTGTACACACACCCGGCAGGCCACCTCTCCCCGGACCGCCACTCCTGCTGAGAACCTGGTGCTCAATAAAGCAGCCCATGGCTGGTGTGTCGTGCAGCTGGTGTGTGGTGCTGTAGTCTTGGTGGGCAACTTGGGTGGGAAAGGAAGGAGCCCCTGAGGCCCCAACTCAGGCAGCCTGTTTAGCATCGGGGCCCCTGACAGCTCCGGGCTGAGAGGCCCCACAGCCTGACCTCCCCCCGGAAGGAAAGGGCTTCTGTTAAAGGACTTTAAATGCTCCCTGGACACCTAGTCTCCTCCTCCTGGTTTTAAGAGGAAAACCTTCCTTTCGGTTCCTGAAGCCGCAGCCAAGGTAAGAGAGGGAGGGACGGAGGAGCCGTCAGTGGGCCGAGGAGTGGCGCTGCCTCTGTGGACACTCGCCGCTCTCGGTGTCTCATTCCACGGAGGCCTGGGGCAGGGATGACCAGCCCCAGCCAATGGTGCACTTGGAGGAAACAAGGCCCAGTCCCTGCTGCTGCTGCTCACTGGGAAAATAATCGTAAACCAGTCACACAAATCGTCAGCATTTATTTCCTGGGTCCTAGGAGGCATCTCGGTAGAAAGGGCAGAGTTGGTCAGGTGGTTTGGAGCCCAAATCCCTTGCCTAGAAATGGATCTGTGAAGCCCCACGAGGGCGCCATGGCTGCAGTTTAGCTTAAGTAGCTTTCCAAAGAAATGGGAAGTGATCGTCAGCTCCCTCCCCCTGCTGAGAAAGGTTTACAACTTTTTACAAATTTAAACAGTGTTTTAGAAAAGGGATAAGGTCTTGACCCAGAGGGCTGAGGTTGGAGAGGAGGGGTCAGTGTTGGGACATGATCCCTGCACGCTGCCCGTGACAGGAGCGTCCCTGTGTGGGTGCTCACCCCGGGGGCAGGGCCTGGCCTCGGAGTCCCGGCGCCAGCTGAATACGTGACAGCCTGTGGTTACGGTGTCTTCAGCGTGCTGGGCACGGTGAGGTGGTGGCTGGTGGCGGGAACACAGAGCCAGTGGGTGTGGGCTGAGGGCTTTCCCGGGGCGGGGCCACAGAGGCCTGGGGGCCCTGTCAGTCTGGCCTGGCTTGCCTGGGACATGGGGCTCAGAGAAGAGGCTGCAGGACCAGTGCCAGGGGGTCTCCTTCCTGGGAGGGGATAGCAGGTCTCTCCTTCCAGCCTCAGGTCGAGGTGGTGCCGTCGCTGCTCTCGGGCTGGCCACCAGCCGCCTTGTCTGCGGAGCTCGCCTCGGCCTGTCCTTCTGGAGAGGAGAGAAAGAGGAGCGGGTTTTTCTTGGGCATGTATCCAAAATGTGAACCACAGAGGGGGTCTGGAAGGGCCCAGCCAAACAGGTAACAGTGGGTAAGCCCTGGGGCGCAGGACAGGAGCTGGGGGCGGGGGTGACACTAGCCCAAAGAAACTCTGGCCTGGTCCGGAACACCCTGACTGACAGTGGAGACGCACGTGTGTTGCTAGCAGAAGCAAGCTGAGTCGATGCCAGGGCAGGGCTCAGGTGGAGGGCTGTGGAGGGTCAGTGTATTTGTGCAGGTCCCCGCGGGGAGGGGGATGTGAAGTCCCAGCACGGAACAGGTGCTCAGCGAATAGCAGCTGTTCTCCTAAGATAGCACAGGACCTCGAACGGGCCAGCCCGGGGTGGCCATATCAGGGCCCGTGCGGACTAATAGCACATCCTAGGGGTGGTGCCTGTGTATGGGGCGGCGGGGTGGCCCAGCATGCATCTGGCAGCCTCCACCCCCCCCCCCCATCTGGCGTGCCGAGAA